TTGATTAAAAAAATCAAAATAGTTAAGATTGTAAGATTTATGTTTTATTTAGAATTTTTATTATAAAATGTGTTTTTAAATAAAATATCATCTAAAAGTTTATATTAGATATTAAAAACATGTTTATATTATAAATAAATTTATTTTTATTTTTATAAAATTTAATATTTATTTTTATGTTTTTATTAGTGTTAAATTATTATAAAATAAATTTTTAGAATTGTAGTTCTAACCAAATATTAAAAAAATATATTTATGACAAATAAATAAATTATATTTAAGACATATATTTTTAGTAAAGAGTATATTAAGACCTACTAAATTATAGTAGTATAATCTAATCTGACCTAATTCTAATCGTAAACGCATATATAAAACATTATAGAAAATAATTATAACATATATTTATATTTTTAAAAGTGAAATGTAAAATTTTTAATACTACAAATATATGAATAAATATTTTTTCCATTATCTAAAGTTTTTAAATTCATCACTGACTATATTAACTTCTCAACTTAATATGAATATTTTTTAGTTAGAGAATAATTCACTTAATCTAAAAATAAGTCTACCTAATATTTTATATCAAATTTTAACGATTCAACTATTAAATTAAAAGTTCTTAATGAAACAAAATATGAAATGCTCTTTAATTTTTTTTAAAATTAAAACTATTTGATATTTCGTCTCATTAATTCAAATCAACGTATAAAATATTTTTTATGATTATCCTTCAGTTTGAATTAATGAAAAAAAATATGAAATCGTCTTTTATTTTTTAAAAATTTACAAACTTGATTTATACATTAAAATTTTTTAATTTAACGATTAAATCGTTAAAATTTGATGTACTACATAAGTTATTGAATGGAATGAGTAAACTTATTGTTGGAGTGAGTGAATACCTTCTCTTTATATTTAAACTTCTCATAATATTATATAAAAAATATTACCAGATTGTATAGTTAATAAAAAATAATTAATTACAAAGTTTTTTTTAATATTAATATTATCTTTCATTTATTTAGTAGTTTTCTTTGATATGTATAAAATAATCTATAAAGACAGTTATTGTGAGAAAGAAGGAATATATATTATCGAGAATAAAAAAGAAAAAGAAGAGAGACACTCTCTATTTGAATACACACATTAACGGGGAGTAGTGTGCGGTTATTTTATGGCATTTATTAATAATTATTGTGTGATTTTTTAATTTTTTTAATGAGTTAAATTTTTTTTAAAAAGCAATGTCAATACAAAATAGGAAAATGCATTTATATAGGTATAGATATTTTCGGATTAAAAAAATTATTCCTTAATAAATAATACCTATAAGAAATAAATAAATTTTATTTTGATCCTAATTATAAGAAATATGAGTTTCTTTTTAAATATATTAATCGATGATTTTTTTTATAATCTTAATTTATTATGAGTTTGTTAATAAATCTTCTACTTATTTTTCATGAAAGTAAATACAGTTAATGAACAATTAAAACCATAAGTTATAATTATTGGTTGAAAATATAATTTATTGACTTTTGAATAATGTTATTAACTATAACTATCATCTATGTTATTTAATTCCATGGATATTTTTATAAAAAAGAATTAAAATTATGATATTATTAATTAAAACTAACTAATTTAACTAATTTCATTAATATTGAAGAATTAAATATTTATTTCTTACATATAGGAATAAAGTTAGTACACTCATATTGTATTTTTAGTTGTTATTGTTCTTTAACAATAAATTTATTTTTTATAACTTTGTTTTTATATTTTCTAATAAATTTTAAAGTCATTTTTTAAAATAAAAGGATAGATAAAAAACAACACCATCATAATTACTATATAAGGGAGTTATATATAGAGAGAGGAAAAAGAGAGAGAGAGAGCCACAATAAACATAAAATATTGATAATCAAGGTTATCAAAATTGTCACCAACTTTAATACAATTAGTGTTACCTTCATGCTTTATAGATAACTTCAAAATAAAGAGTCTTTTAGCACGTTTAAGAAAAAATAAATAAATGAAAAACGAAAATAAATTACTTTCGAAAAAACTGAATTATCAATACTTTTTATTTCTTGTCAACCCTTAATCCATTATCATTATTTTCGCTATGTGTGTGGTATGTGAAAACTAGGGGTGACAACGAAGAGGAGGAAAATTAACAACGAAAAATTAAGAGAAGAAAACTCCCAGAATCGCAATTATTTTACTGACAGATGTTATCTAGTATCTGGATTAGTTGAGCACAAATTTGAGATATATTTTCCTCCAATCCAATCAATTTTAATTAGTTCAAATTGACTTGATTTTACTATTTTTCGGTCATCAATCCAATCCAATCATCATTTGATTTAGTTTAAATCATATCATTAGATATATTATTAAAATGATAAAAAAATTATTAGACAATTTGTAATGCACACTTGTAATTGAGTTTAATCTGATACAAGTCATTTGAGTTCCAAACCATAATGATTAAATTTGCAATTTTCTAATCTGAACCGATCTAGAATTTTACTTTTTAAGTTTGGTTGAGATTCATTGGATTGGGTCGAATCTGTGTCCACCCATAATTCAGACTACCATGTCCTCGGTTCTTTGCCTACTATTATCGTGAGATACGATAAATACACCAAAACCGTCTCTACAAAGTGATATAATTTTAACACAACCACATCAAAGAGCAATTTTTGCCGCAAAAATCTATCTCAGCATTAATATATTTTGAACACTACGTAATTTTTTACCCGGGTACAAGAGGAAAAAGAAACAAAATTTGTTAGACCGCCCTGTTGACCAGTTGAGGCAATAAATTCCAGTATAAAGGACGATCAAAATTTAGTATGGAGTGTGAAACTGGGTGGGTACCCTTGGTATGACTACGGTATAGCTCAAATGCTATAGAAGTAAATCATCGATCATTATCCTGCAAAAATAGAACAGATCAAATCAAATTACTACCAAAAAATTAATCACACGCCTTCTAGTACACAATTGAAGCTTTGAAGTATAAACATCAAACTATAAGACATCCACTAACATCAGATAATAGGCCCTACCAAATTGATGATAGTTGAGTTCTCTGATAAGCATTTGGCATGAATGATGGGGCCCACATTTCTACTTTCCATCTCACTATTGATATCTGAGTAGTTCATGTAAACGGCCCCTTTGAACATCCACTCGTTCCTTTCCTGACAGTACACATCTTCAAATAGCTCGCCACACAAAACACACAAGCATTGGTTTTCATCTGTTACAATCATCGTATCAAATTCACTGCTGTCTGTTTCCTTGTCATATACACCAACAGAGTCGGTAAACTCAAGCTCGGGTGAATATTCTGCCTTGCCAGAAATCCAAACACTTGACTTTGGATACCAACTTCTTGATGCATTAATTAGACCATGTTGTTCTCTTGAGGCATGCCACTCCAAGTGTCTATTTAACTGTTCTTCTAGTTTAAGCCTAATACCGCAAATTTGGCAGTGATGAGGGAAATCATCCAATAATTCACTAATTACAAGTGGATGGAAATCTCTAATTACATTAGGTCTAAAATCAAAGCCAATGAGATTTCTGATTTCCATGCTAGTTGATTGAGGTAATGCAAGAGGGGGTTTTGTAGCAGCGGCTACCTCATCTATGGAAGAAGATACCAGGCCAGCTACAGAACCAGAAACTGATGTAACTGGTAAAGAGCTACAGGTGGTACTGATTTCAGTTTGATCTTTGGAACCCAGCGGCACCTCACTTCGTACCACAGTTGGCGATTCTGTTTCGGCAGATATCAAACCCTTTGCAACCAATGAGCTTAAGAGGTTTTTAAATGGATTTAAGTTATTATTATTGGTAGCATTTAAGCTCGGAGCTGAGGAACTGCTCACATTAGAGGACGCAGGTGGTTGAGTAGAAAGCCTTCGTGGTGGTTGCCCAGCCTTTCCTTGAAGTTTTTTTGGCAGTGCAGATGATTCGTTATGCAGAGGATCTATTGAAGATGGTGATGCAACTGCAGATCCTGAAGAAATTAATGGGGTAGAAGACCTACCAGACCGAGTAGGCTGAACCCCAGACTGAGATGGAAGATTCCTTGGATCCAGATTACTGGTAATTGATTTCTTGGGGATAATTCCACTCTTGTTAGCTGCAGCTGGCAAATTAACTGTGGTCAACTGTTCTGAAGTTTCTCTGGCTAAAGAAATTTTAGACTGGGGCAACTTAGTTTTAGCAGTAACTTCAGTCGGAGAAGGGCCCAGCTTTTGTTGCTGAAGCTTTGGTCGAATAGAAGTTACAGAAGATAATGAGCCCTGCGAGTCCTTTTCCTGTGATCTTCGCAAGTTACTAACCTGAACAATGGGACGAAGGGTAGGTGATGGATCTCTAATATGTTGACTTCTTGGACCTCCCAAAAATTGAGATGTTTTGAGATTCTGGGGCATTTCTTGCTCAACCAAATTTTGCATTGAATGATGGTGTACTGTTGCCGACAGTGATGGAGACTGTTGTCGCAAAGGTGACTGCCCAGAAGGGGATTCAGTATCCCCCGAATCAGATTGTTGTCCCACAATTTTGGCCGTTCCTACTACTGCATTCGGCATAAAAGATTGGTTTCCCTTTTTGGCAGCCAATGAACTTGCATTGGTAGGTAAACCACTGAGAGTAGACACAAATCCTTCTGAGTAACCTGGCTTCAGATTCAGCTTATCAACCGAGTGTTGCCTCTGCAATTGCCATGATGACGGTGGATGGCCACCAAAACCAGGTACTTGTTTCTTAGCGGTGGGTATTTCTCTATCAACCTTTGCCCCAAAAGGGCGTGTAATTTGGATCTGATCTTCACCTTCCTGCACATGGTAAAAATAAATCAATCAAGTATATCCAACAAAATATACATGTAATTTCAAATTATTGAATCAATTTATGATGCATTTACAATTTAAGGCTTTGTAATTACAGATGAAGTGTTTTAATTATTAGGGTTTGAATGTTTGGGAACTGGGGGATATCTTACGCCAAATTAAATTAGGATTTTAATCCTTAGTTTACATTAGGAAGTTTCGATTGCTTGGCTTTGATAAATTAGCCTGTTTAAATAAAAAAATAAAATAAATAAATATATATATATATATATATAAATAGAAGAGGGATTTGTTTATTTCAGGAGTAAGTTTACTTAAACTTACTCCATTCAATAACTCATGTTGTACATCAAATTTTAACGATTCAACCGTTGAATTTAAGATTTTTAATGCATAAATCAAGTCTATAAATTTCATTAAAAAATTGAAAATCATTTGATACTTCATTTTATTAATTCGTATATATTATCCATCTTACAGAATACATCCCTATAACTCATTATTCAAAGAACATTTGTTTCCAAACAATGTTCCTTTAATATGATTTTCTTTAATGTCCCCATCTTTCAAGATAAGGATTGACTAACAAAATTAGAAGAAGCTTACACAAAAATGACTTTTTAAGGGGGAAAACAAGGGCTTTATATGAAGTTCTAATTGTGAAAAAAAGTGATAAGCATTTATTGTAAGTGGAGTTTTATCAAAATTAGACCTGGTTAACTGCTCTTTAATTTTTGTCAAAAAATTACTTGCGGGAGAAATGCTTTCAAAATTAGCAAGAGTCACTAATTTGGAGGGGACATGAGGCACCATTTCAAGGAAAATCATGTTAAATCAAAGTGCAACTGGTCATTTTAGCAAGCTTACCAAATTTTCGTCATCAGCCATCCACGAGTCTGTGCTCAAATTGCTTGACACATTGGGACCATGATCAGTCAAACCAGAGTTCATTTCATCCCACGTGAATTCCTCCTCTTCAGAATTTTTCCAGTTACCTGACGTCACATTGCTCTGTATGTTAGTTATGTCTTGTCTTGGCTGACGATGTGCATCCAAATTAATGGACTTCGGTGCTTCATGATTTGAAAAACTGCGCTTGAGACCGATACCATTTCCTTGCCCAGATATGGTTTCTACATCATCACCTGTTTTGAACCATGGTTTTTCATTTCCTAAATCAACGAGCCTACTTCCAGTTCTTCCAGCCCCTGAAATCAAATTACTTGAAATGCCAGAACTATATTCACTGCCCCCACATGATCCACCAATGGTCTTTCCGAGAACAGAATCACTAAATCCATCTCTATGGGTGTGCTGATTATTCTGCAATATTCACTGCTACATTAAAATATGACCACTGGTGGACTGAATAGTATAAAGAGGAAAAGAAAAGCTACCTAACCTACCTGCATGTTGATCCTAGGATCCAACCATGGTCGTGACGGACCCAAGGCTCTATCTGGCCTCTCTGAATCCTCATTTGAGCTTAAAATAGCTCCAGTCATATCATTAACTCCTTTACTCTTTATGACATAAAAAAAGACACGGCAAATAACTAATAAGTACAAGAAATGTGACATAGAAAAGGCAAATATTGGTATCAGTTAAGTATGGAAGATTAAAAGAATTGAATTGTGAATCAGACTTTAACATACAATAACAAAGTCAAAGCAGACATCTCAAATATGTATATGCATATAAAAACAATATAAAGATGGCATTCAAAATATTACTTTTAAGTTTTAACTAGAGTCTAACAAGGTTAATCACACATATACCAGATGTCAAACCATAAAACAAAACCACAAAATCAGGATAATTCATTATTAAGAAGAATAAAAAAAAATCAAGTTAGTTTAATGGAAAATTCCAATTCAAATACACTTATTGCAAGAATATATATAGTGTCTCATAATCAACATGTCTTCCAGTCCTGTTTCATCATCCAAGGAACACATGACTGCCAAATTTAAATTCATCACACAAAAATTCTGTAACACTGTCCAGCCTTGATTGATTCCTATCAAAATCGAACACTTCAAACCTTTAAAGGACAACTTTTCAGTGCAATGGTTTCACCTACCCCACTTGACTGCTGAAGACGCTGCCTTTCTAAATACTTGGGATTCACATGGATACTATGTGGCGGGCGTTGTGACTGTAAATCACTCCTGACTGTAGTAGCAGATACCGAAGCTGAACCATTGACGGCAGGTGCAAAGCCAAGTTCCTTCTCAATCATCTGAAGGGATTGAGGAGGAAAGACTCCTTTCCAAGTTCCAAAAAGATGTCTCATACTTGAATGGACAGAAGGATCAACCTGTCTGTATGCCTTGCAGAATACCTAAAATGTAAAGTAGTAGTACCTAGTTAAAAATAGGTGTATAAAATTAGAAAACATATAACACAGGAAAAATGCAAAGGGAATTTCTTTTTCAATTTCTGAATAATTAGATTTTACTCATTTTTTAAGGGAAATGCAAGAATTCTTGCAATCTCATGATTCATGTAACCAACTTCTATCAACCGGAACAGTTCAGTATAAAATAGCATAGCTTCAAAATCTGAAGGATTCATCATATACAACAAGAAGTATATCAAAATAAAGGCATGAAAGTAAATGGATAAAGATAATAAATATCTAACCTCAGGCAGTCTGGCAGCAAAATATTTTATATAATCCCACCCGATATTCTTAACAATACTGTCCAAGAGATAAAGAGATGGCAGTTTTTGGTCACTTGGAACCTGGAAAGACATTAAATCATTTCAATTAAACAAGACCTTTTTTTCATAATACAAAGACACAACGAGATAAATAAGACTTCCTTGGAAGATGTAAAAAAAAGGAAAACAGCTGAAATCAACAACATATAATCCAATCAGAAGTTAGCATCAAATTTCACAAAACATGGACTCAAGTACTGATTGACATTGGAAATTGTTTAGTGTCCACTTCTCTCCCCATGTCGTAAATGAAAAAAATAAAAAATAAACATGTTTAACAAATTGTGGATTACCACTCCCCAATGGCACTGATTATTAGTTGCAAATATAGTCAAAATTGACCAACTACAGTCATTTGGCAAAAGGATAGTTTTTTTTTTTCTTTGTAACTCAGGTTGGATAACTAAATATGTTTTACATTCTCTTAATAACCAACCTACATATACAGGACCGTGAAACGAGATTAAATTCAACAAACTATGGATGCCCTTTTTCGAATACAAACTAATTCAATTCATCAACACGTAGCATGATAAACAATAATACCTCATCACAAATCAGACAAATTAAGTGGAATTGTTCTTTCTTTATTCCAAATCCATTAAAACTGTGGCTCACCTCTAGAATGTTAGCACAAACAATTGCAGCAATTGCCTTGGCAGCAGATTGATTCTCTCCGGCAATAATAGTCAAATTGGTAATTATGGGCTTCGAATTGAAAGTTAGCTCAGCAAGAGCGGTCCTGTACTGAGCCACAAGTTCCTGGTGTGGCGGAGGCTGAGGGTGGTAGCCGCCAACGCCACCGCCACGACCCAAATCGCTGTTTTCTGAGTCTCTGTCATTGGTTCGAAATCTCGCAGACGCCAACGTGGCAACTGCCCCAGACCCTTGTTGGCGTTGAGGTAACTGTCGTGAGCTGAGTTCGTCGATCAATCTTGGCTTCTTGGGACCCGGTTCTCTCGATCTGTCCAAGGATCTGCGCGTACTCTCCATGTTCTTTCAAATAAAATGCAAAAGAATTTAAAACCCTAACCCTAATGCGTTCTCAATTTATTGTGAGAAACCGGATTAGCAGCACGAAAAATAGCTTCCCTATTATTGCCACAGCGGGGAGAGGGAAATGAATAAGAAAATAATTTCTGGTTTAAAATTGTACAGGGCGAATTGAGAAAAACCCTAATCTTGATTTACATGAAATAATAAAAGAGAGAAGGTGGAAGGATGTAGAGTGTTTATAAGCTGAGATTGCGATTATATGTGTGAATGAAGGCCAGCAGTGACGAATGAAGCTCCCTTCCCGCATTCAACTGTAATCTTTGTTGAAACTTAAAAAGTTAAATGGAGTTTGGTTTTACTGTAAATGATACTAAAATAAATATTTTTAATAAAAAAAAGTATCACCTTTTTTGTCTACAGAATTTATCGCATTTAAATGTTTTAAATTAACATTAAAAATTAATGTTATTTTTTAGAACTGTATTGATTCAATTCAGAGTTGTTTGTATATAATTTAGGATAGGAGTAAAATTTAGATTCAATTCAAAAAAATTTACATAGGATTTAGGATAAAAGTAAGATTTGAATTCATCATATTTAATTAAATTATTTTAATTCACAATTTTAATATACTAATATTTTAACATGTGTAATGCATAGATATATATTATATATAATTAAAATTTATAGTAATTACATATATATATATATATATATATAATATTATATTTAAACATATGTATTAGGTTTAAATGTATTTTTAATCTTTCAAATTTATAATAAATTTATTTTTAGTCTCTTAAATTTAAAATTAATCTTTTTAATCTCAATAATTTCAAAAAAAATTATTTTAGCCTTTATACTCATTTTAAAAAAATATATTATTACACAAAATCTAAGTGTCACTGTTAATAAAAACATAATGTTAAACATAGTTAATGTTGCATGATTGTCTAAATTTATCACTTTTATGTGTTATTGATAATTTAAAAAACTAAAATAAGATTTTTAAAAATTATAAGGACTAAAAAATAATTTTAAATTTAAGAGATTAAAAACAAATTTATATTAAATTTGAGAGATCTAAAATATATTTAAATATATAAATTATATTAAAATAATTATAAATAAACAATTTTAAACTTATTTTTAGATTTATGATAAATAGTTTATATTATATGAGAAAAAATATTTTTATTTATTAATAATTTATTTAAAGTATAACATTTAATTCATAAATAATTATAATAAAAAAAATTGAATTTAATAAAAAGTTAAAAAAAATTCATAAAAACTCTCTCATCAAAAAAAGTCACTAAGTATTTTTCAGACAATGTAAAATAAATAAATAAATAAATGTAATAAAAAATAATATTAAGTCAATCTGGTTTTTTAGGTTACACATGCATGAATATTATCTGATTATGTCAGAAATTAATCTCTTTGGAGATCTTTAAGTTCGAACGCGTACCACAGTAATCAAGGAACGTTGATAGAACCATATCATTTGAATTATTGAAATAATTTAATATAATTTTTTAGGAAGAGATATCAATTGACACCGGTGTTTTAGTTTGTACATTTGATAGGATAAATGTTTATCGTATATAATTAAGATTTATAATAAAGTAGTATTTTAGTTTATGCAAATATTTATTATATAAAAATTGAAATTTATAATAAATATACAAATAAATAAAATGTTTGAATATATAAATTATATTTAAAATTTACATAAATAGATATTTTAAACATATAAATTATATTTTTTATTTATGATAAGAAATTTATATTGTGGTTAGCGATGAAAATAAGTCGTGTGACTTTGAACATATAAATTAAACTTATTTTATAAAATTAAAGTCTAAATCATATGTATTATTTATGATAAAAACTTTTTAAATATTTTATATATTTCATTTGAAATATTCTAAATAAAAATAATCAACTATGAAAATGAAGGAAAACAATAGATAAAGATGTGATTGTTAGAATTTTTATTTTTTATTTATTGATTTGATACGAAATATTTAAGTATAGTGAAAATATCAAAAATAGAGTTTAATTTTTTTAGTTAAAATTTTATTTATTTGATTATATTGTTGATATTTTGATTTAATTTGTATATTAATATTTATTATATTATATAATCAAATATGTAACGATCCACTATAACCATCATTTATGTATCGTAACTACTAACAGTATAATTATCTCATACTAAAGGGTTTATATTTGAAATAATTAGATACGCACATTATAATATGTGTATAAATGCAAACAACTAAAAATAATTATACAATTATATATGGTATATGTACATTTAGTATAAAAATAATATAAAATCTTAAGCGTCAATCAAGTACAACTATACAAGCTCTCTAAAGGTAGGTGTTGACTACATCGCCACCTGTGTGACCCACACTCACTCCAAGAGCTCGCACTAGTTAACTCAACCCTACTCTCATGAAAAATCATGATCATCGTAGTTCATATTACATGAAAAACACGTAAGGGTAAGTTAGATTTCAAAAACATACAAAGCATGGAAGGAACATCTATATTACTCCCCCAACATATAAATCAACTAAAACACGCCACATGATTTACAACATACAACAATCGACATGTTTGAAAGTAAAGCACCTAAGTAATTCAGACATTCACCATAATTATACCATACAACAAGGTATTTATTTAGTGCATATAAAACAAATATCAACTCACACCACATCACGTGCACACACTACAACTAATGCATTGTCACGCATTCACCTATGAAGATCTCTTAATATACATGTGCAGTCTAAGTGGTTTAATCTCGTTGAATTGGCTCAATCACTTTCATGCCCAATGTGCCCATTGGATTGACAGCTAAAATGAGATATTAATCTCTACCTCTGATTTTTTGGGTGTCGTTATTTATGCTAGGAAAATTCAGTTTCATTGTCGGGGCTAGTATAGTTAGGTATAGGCGTACCACGACCTTAACATGAATTACCAAGTCACATATAAAACTAGTCCACTGACTATTCGTAAGGAACCACACAATTAAGGGTCATGACTCTCTACTTCATATTTTACTCCACATTTACTAAGGATCTAAAGGAGACTCAACAAAATCTACTCTAAGAGTTTCACACCTACGTAAGAAAGGTTTTCAACAATTGGCCTCCTATAACATCAAAACAAAAAATTTTGTATAGGATCTTCAACTTTCAAACAACACTTTCTCCTTTAGTCCTAAGTCAACCAGCATACTTTAATACCTACAACATTCCCAACATCAACGCCTCAACATGCATCATCTATATGCATTATCATAAGTCAACGCTTATAAAGATCAAATAACACCAACCATAATTAGCATACCAATGTTATACACCTCATGCGAGACCAACATATCAATGTCAATTTAACACTCCGATCATGCAATTTATAGCATATTGATCCTATATATAAAACATATCAATGTTCGTCATCGTAATATATCATATCACATATACATATATTATCACATATCAATATATATAGACTCAACATTTATCATACATCATACAACATGCAATATATTTAAATGTTTTATTCATGTTCACCAATTCACCCATCAACACAATTCATGTTCATCAATTCATCCATCAACCACATGTATCATTAACACAACTTATGCCTAGTGCAACTTACCTCACGCTCGCGTCATTAAAGCAAGGAGTTTTTTGTCTCATCCATGCTTAACACCACTCAAGCTGTGCCCAATGTGATTAAGGTAGGGAACCCCTAAGACCTCACGCTCGACCTCATATCAGTTAGAGTCTCTACCTCACTCACATCTGGAGTCACCTCACCAATGCCTGACATTGTCTAGGCATAAAATCTCTATCTTAATCACTCTTAGCGCCACCATATTTGGGGTCCAATGTCACCAGGTCAAAGACTTTCAAATGCTTTCATGTCTGACACCATTCAAACTACACTCGACGTCATCCCAATCTAAGACAAGTTTCTCTCCTTACACTCGACGTCATTGATCTTGTGTCTCGCATGAATAAGACAAAGACTCCTGGTTGGAACTACAACCGACACGATATTAGAAATATGCAAATGAAGATTTCAAATTTTGCCCAAAACCACCTGAAAATCAAAAGACTTCCCAACATAAAATGTATCAAACATGAATATACACAGTGACGGATCTAGAAAATGTATTAAGTGGGGGCAATAAAATATTTTATAATAATTTTTTAGAAAAGTATATTTTTGTGACAAAAAATTTAATATATTATTTTTTATAAATTAAAATTTTCATGAATAGAGTAATAATTCATCCTTTTTCTATTTTTTTGTCTGATATTATATTTAAGTGTGATTTTATAATTTTTAGTGACTTATTTAATATTAGAAGAACAAAATGGTATAAATTATTAAGATAAATATGATATAGTTACTATTTTTTTTTTTTGTATCTCTCATCAATTTCCACGTTCATTTAAACCAAAAATATTTTATGAGAATAATGCCTATTTTTATAAAAGAGTGAATTTATTTTTTATTAAAGATGTTTAAATAAAAAAAAATTATGCAGTAATTACTCTCATTCTTCTTAATTTGGATCTTCTCCTACTAACACACAATATATATATATAAGATTAAGACAATTATGACATCTTTAATGAATAAAGTAATAAATCTTTCGGTCTAAAAATAAAGTATATTATAATAATAAAAATTAAGACAATTTTATCATAAAATGAAAGAAAATACACAATAAAATAAAATATTAATATATTTTAACATATTAGATATAAAAAATAATCATTACAATAAACGTTATATATAATCACATATAAAAAGTGTTACCATAATTTATATTTACTTTTTAACAACATATCAACATATTATATCTATAGTATATATGACAAATATCATGTCTCTATAATATATATATATATATATATATATAAATGAAAAATAGAAAAATTTTAGTGGGGGCAAGTGCCCCCACTCACTTAGTCGTGGATCCGTCCCTGAATATACATCAATCTCATCTCATTTCACACCAAAAATTCAACATGCAACAAAATTTGTAATCAACCCATTAAATTGCACTCAAGTACTCAAAACCCACTCATTTTCATCCAAGCATCCAAAAATCCATCAACATGCATACAATACAAGTGAAAGAAACTAACATAAAATACAAATAATCCAACACCAATCATTCATAGTTTCCCTTATCTTTAGAACTCAAAAATTAAAAAACAAGAGGAAGGAACAAGGAAAGACATTGCTATGAGCTTCGAGTACAAGAACTCCACACCAAACACTTTGATTCAACTCACTAGGGACCCAAATCAAAGTACACAAACACATTAGTGATTTCGGAAAAATAAAAGAATCATCCAACTAAGAGAAAGTATAGTGAAGAAGGAAACACACGGGCCCAAAGCACCTATCTATAGTTTATCTCTCTAAAATTTGCAGAACATTAACTTGTGAGACTCAATTCTCAATAGAAACCTTATATACTTCCTCCCCTCAAGGTCAACTGAATCTCTGATTAGAGACTCTCAAAACTAACTAGACTCATAAGGGTTCATCAACTCTCAAAGCCCCACAACACACTTCAAACACCATATAGATAAGTAATTTTTTTTTAAAAGACAATAATTAAAAACTTACAATGACCAAAATAGGTTGGGAAATTCTTTTATAAACCTATGTCCAACCTTTTCAAATAAATAGGTTTATTTAAAAGTCCAAACCCGATATTTTTATTAAATAAGTTAGGGTAGGTTAAGCTTTAAACAAGTTATGCCATAGATCCCTATTTAAGCTTTGACCTATTTTCATTCTTAATTGTAGTATAAGATTATTTTTATTTATTGATAAATTTATTTTAAATATTAAAATTTAATTCACAAATAATTATGATAACTAAAAATTAAATTAAATAAAAATTTGAAAAATCCTAAAAAATTATTTTGTCGAAGAAAAACTCGTAAAAATATTCTCACACCAAGATAGTTGTTTGTGTTTAATATATAAGAGCTGATTACTAGAAATAGTAATCAAAAGATAATAATCCTTTACAACGATCAAAAAGATAATATTTTACAATGATTAAAATCAAAATTTATTCATTTTATAAGAGTCAAAAACAATGTTTATAAACATTAGAATGATGAAAAATAAATAATTTTTTTCTAGGAATCAAAATCAAAATTTACTTATATTATAAAACTAAAAATATTTTTTAAGCATAGTATTAATATAAAATATCAATTACAAAAAATAATGATTAATCTCTGTCGAAGACCGTAAACACATATAAGCTAAATATTTTCAATATAATATATTTTATACCAAAATTAAATATGACTTTTATTAATCCAAATGTTAAATACTTGAAATATAGCGGCTTATCAAAAAAAAAAAAACTTGAAATATAGCTATATGTTATCTTAATTTTCTCATCAATTCTAGCTTAAAGAAAATAATAATAATAATAATAATAATAATACAATTATTTTCATGTTTAAAAAAATTAATAGGTTTTGTACGAATATGGACATAACAACTAAAAGTAGGGGTGTGCAAAAAATCCAAATTTATTCGAATCGATCCATAACTGATCTGATCCATTTTGAAAAAAAATCCGAACCGAACCACTTTATAAAACCGGTTCAGTTATCCGATTCATTTTTACAAAGTGGATCGGTTCGGTTCGATTTGATTTTCTAAAAAAATCGATCCATATATGAGTAAAAAAGTGGATAACTGCACCGCACCGAACCGATCCAATTTAAAAAAATCGATCCATATTTTAAGAAAACCAAACCGATCTACTTTATAAAAAATAGATCGATTAACCGATCCACTTTTATAAAATGGTTCGGTTCGGTTTAGATCAGTTTTTTGAAAAAACCGATTCATGAACACCCCTAACTAAAAGACCTATAGTTAGTCAGGCTAGTATTATGAAGCGGCCTATGCTTATTTTTCATTAATTTTCTTATATTGGTCATGGGGTCAACTTGTCTAGTTGGCCAACCAAAGTCAATTTTATTTGGGCCTATGATTTTAAGGTACGTCTTAGTCTTATTTCGTAGGTTGCTAATTCTAAATATAAATAAACTATTTTAAATTATAAAATATTTATAAGCTTTGTTTTAATGACGGTCATTGAGTACATAAAGGGGATGCCTTTTGCCGCTCATACAGCAAGTGTTATTCAACAGTAATAGATGAAGACATGCAAACGAGCATAAGACATGATAAAAAAAAAGTTAAATATAATATTTTAAAATTTTAATTTAGTCTCACTTTAATTTTTAATTTTAATTTGGTCCTTAATAATTTAAATTACTGCAATGTTGGATTTTCTATTAAAATTTCTTAAACGGAATTTACTGTTGGCCACGTGGATGTCAAGTAGATGCATAGGTGGATGCCAAATACAAGCGATTAATGATTATAGTTCACGCCTGTGATAAATCACGTTTGTGAATCGTGCAAGGAAAAAAAACCAAGGTACAAGACATTTCAAACACTGGATTTGACAATATTGTCAATGGGGGATTTATAACTTTAATTGCTAAACATTTGGGCTATACACCATTTTTGGACCAATTGCAAGATATAGGAGTTCCTATAAGTATTAATTATAATACTTGTTATGCAATGCAGTGTATCACTAAAGACAATGGTGACAATTTTTATTTCATTATTAGTCAAACTGGAGTGAACTACTTACTACCAAATCGGCACTATACAGTTAAGGATGAAACGGCATAGTGTTTCCCCTTGGAATCATTGACTGATGTACCCCAACAACAAAAATATTTCAGTCTTTGAATTTTTATTTTCAGTCTCTGAACCATATTTCAGTCTTTGAATTTATGTTATGTTATGAATTTTTGTTTTCAATCTTTGAACCACACTGTTGCATTTTGTTGAACACACATATGTGGTTGACATTTTGGAACGACTCATTCTGAATTCAGAACAGCTCGTTCTGCTACACTCGTTTGTGTGTTAACTAATGCATCTGGAACGGGCCGTTCCAGATGCAAAATTAACACACCACGAGTGCAAGCAGAACATGCCGTTTTGGTTCCAGATGCATTAAAGAAATTTGGCATCCACTTATGCATCTATGTGACATTCACGTGGCCAACCGTTAACTCCGTTTAAAAAATTTAGACGGAAGGTCCAACATTGCAGTAATTTAAATTATTAGAGATCAAATTAAAATAAAAAATTAAAGTGAAACTAAATTAAAATATTATAAGAAATCAAATTAGGTATTTAACTTAAAAAAAATTATCTCGAGAGATGCGACAATAAGGAAATGATATATTATTAATTTTTTTTTACGAGATGTAACATTTATGCCATAATGAATATAGATTTCTAAAAAAAATGTGTAGAACTAAAACATTGAAAAGATTTTTTAAAAAATAAATAAGTGAAAAATTTGATTAAAATAATATATTATTATGATTCAAGAAAAAAATAAGAGTAATTACTCGAAAATTACGATGGAAGTGTGTTGAATAGAAAATAGATAATAAACACTTTATTCTATCTCTACTTATAAAAAGTCAAGCCAATATAATAGACTTTGTAATGCGAATTCCTTTATTTTCTTTTGGGTTATACCATGATTATTTGTGAGTAGAACTCTTTGGTCTATTGCTTTTGCTTGAATTAATTAAATTGATTTTATGTTCATTTGACTTATTTTTTTATCATTTTATTGGTAATCTTATTTATGTGAAATATCTACAACTATTTTACATAATTCTAAACATTTATTGGCTATTTGATATACATAAAGTTTTTACTTTTCTAAAAATCTAAGGTTGGAAATATTAGGAGTTGTGTTGGTTTTCATTGAAAATATATATAAAAAAATAGTGTTGAGAATATGTTTATTTAAATTTTAGAAAATATTTCCTTAAAAAAACATTTCATAAAAGAAGCTTAAAACTGATAAATAAGAAAAGTCATTTTTACTTTTCTTTTTTATAATGAAAATACAGTGACATTAGGTAATTATAATCATTTTTGGATTTTGTTGTTTTTTTTACCAAGTTGGTTAAACTACTCTGGATATTATATTGCAATTTAGGGACCAAAAGTTTCTACCAAAACTTTGTTTGCGGTCTAGGATGGAGGCTCTGATATTTTGTCGAAACTGAATGTTGTTTATGATCATTTAGTTTCGAATGTTAATAGTAATTTGGCTCATTTAATCTTCTAATTAAGGTTTACTATTATACGCAATATTTTGTACAACACGTTGTTGTGGGAATGGAGTTGGCTGCACATTACCCTGCGTAAGACTTTAATGATGATTTATTCCGTCATACCTATACCTCTTAAAGTACGGATTATAATATTGATGTTATGGAAGATTATACCTATCAAAATATGAATCATAATATTATTATTGTGTAGCTTCATATTGATGATCAAAATATAAATCATAATATTATAATGTTGTTGATAGTATATATTCTAATAACATTAGTACTAATGACTAATTGTTTTTATAAACCATTTTTTTAAAACTGAAAAATGAATTAGACAAGTATGAGCTCATGCACATGAAATTGAGTCAAATGGATATCATCAAGTGTAAAATGACTTTTTTTTTTTCTTTCTCTCGTGTGCCCAATAATAGACCCTGTAGACTTATTATATTTGTATTAATTATTTTAAAATTAATTTTGAATTTGTATATTCGCATTAGAAATTTTCAAATTTTAATATTAAAATATAAATTTAAGCTTTGTTACATTTTTTAACTTGGCCTTTTGTAAAGGAAAAAATGAGTTTTGAGTGTGTCCGCGTGTGGGATAAGTTTGTGTTATAAAAAAATGAATTTATAAGTTTGTGTGGGATAACCAAATTGCCTCATGACCCTATCAGGCTGATGCCATTCACAAATACACAGAGAAAGTAACGGGATTATAGAACCCCAAATACGAATCCCCTGTACAGTCCTCGGGCATCTGTTCCAAAGGCGGATATGGTTGCCAAATAATCTGTAAATAAAAAATTGTAATTAGTTTATATTAAAATACTAATAACTTACATAATGAAAACCGTTAACCCTTCAATTTTATTTACTTACAGATTTTCTGGTCAACCGATCAAAGAATTTGCGATAAAATTTAATATCATCGCTCATGCTTATTTTAGTGGCTGTGTTGGACCACCTGAAATCAAAATGTAAACAATTAATTTCTGTAACATTTATTCAATAATTTTAACAATGTTAATATTTTGAATTTCATCATACCTTAAACCAACAGGGCAAGCAGGAGGAATAGGTAGAAATGGAGAAGACAGAATGGTTGGGAATCGTTCCCATGCCCATAACTGCAATAAAAGTGTAAATCCACCACAACTTGGCGTTTTGTAATCTGTAGAGGTGCATAAATTGCGATACAAATATCCAAGCACAGCAGCACCCCATGCATACGTCTTAATGGTCTGAAAGTCACCTAAGAACGCCAACCACCTCAATGAGACATAGCTGGAAGATCTATCAGGAAACAGAAGCCCTCCTATAAAGCGTAGTATCCAGGCTCGAGCATAAGGAAGCAACTGATGTACCTCCTGTAGATCATCTGCAATGTCATTAAAATATGTTGCCAACCAAGATAATTTCACCCGATGTCCTTTAATTTGTGACTCAGGTGGAACAACACCTAAAAGATCATGAGCTGCAAAAAATAAAACAAATTATTTACCGATTTTTAATATTATAAAACACAATTACTTAAACAAAAAAATACAACTTAAAGTATAATTATTTTAGTACCTAATTCGAATATATTACCACTGCCTCGACTTAACAGTGCTTCACCGTCAACTGGAAGACCAACAATCATACCAACATCTTGGAGAGTAATTGTGCATTCTCCAAATGGCATATGAAATGTGTGTGTTTCTGGTCTCCATCGTTCTACCAGAGCAGTTAATAAACCAGGACTCATTTTGATATAACTCAACCGAGCAATCCATCCAAATCCAGCCTGGTCTATTAACGGAACTATTTGATGTGGAATTCCGTCAATTCCATTACGTGTTGGAGCAGCACGTCGTGCTAATAATCTCCTATCTTCTTCTCTATTCCAAACATGTTGTGAAACATGTATGGATTGCAATGACAATAAATCATCCTCAACGGGTCCACAACTCACACGCATAGATGTAGAAGATGATG